CGCATTACATGTGCACAGAAATATACAACCATCATACTGACGAGGTCCAGTTGTGGTACTGGATAGGAATGAACGTATACGACTTTATGGTCCGAGATATTCCCGTTCATCTAATCACCGTTTAATATATTTCATTTTTTTAAACGTATTTTTATAACTTACATATATCATCATTAGTACAAAATACAATCCTGCTACGCACAAATGCATTCAAATAATACTCGTTCACACGGTAGAGTTGCCAATGAAATACAAAACTGGTGGATTTGGGAGTACGCCGAGGATACCCCGTCCCAGTGGCATCCCGTATGATACCCCAACACTACTCGGACGATACCAACCAGAGCAATAGGAGCAGGAATGAATGGAGAGCAATGCCGAGCGCTGGGGGCGCGCATCACAGCTACCAGTTTGGATGACGAGAGGGGCGGCGGCACATTTCAAGGATAGCAGCAGCACTGCTGGAGACACACACACACGGAAGGGCAGAGCAGGACGGGGAGGGGAAGGGGGGGGGACAGCGCCGGGATGCTGTCCCCTGCTCGCCGGCGGCACAAGGACGGAGCATCACTCATTCCGCATGAAGGCCATCTGACGACGACGACAATCCTCCTCCTTCTCCTCCTCACCGGGCCTTTCCGATTGCAGCAGCACGACGACGACGACGATGAGAATTACGGAGCGGCGACGGGCCGAGCAGAGGGTGTCCTGAGCGAGAAAGCGAACGGCCCGCAACAGCAGCAGCAGCAACCGTTCGCTGCGCGCATCCAGCCGCTTCGGAGGGTGCACGGGGGCAGCGGAGGGTTCCGGAGATGCAGCGAGCCGGAGCATAAGTGCCCGGCTGCGGGCAGTTGCCTGAAATGACGACGGTGCACGGAGAGCGAGCAGCAGCTGGCTCGCCACTCACTTCCAGGATGCTGTGCCAACGGCAGCACTACTCCGGCTGGCAGTGCGAAGATATGAGTTCAGCGGAGGGCCGAGAGGAGGGGAGGCAGGAAGTGAGGGGATTGGGAACAATGGCCTGACTGATCCGAGGACGAGTGGATGTGCTGGTGCGCGGGAACACCGTTCTTTTGAAAGATAATGACCAGAGCAACGCGATGAGTTCACAAGTGCTGCGATGAGTGTCCATCACCAGCCACTGGTCATTTTTGCATATACTTCAGATGGTAAGACTGTTGTTGAGCATGTTTCAGTATATACGTTTTTCATAATTTTGAACAAATTCACTCTCCCACAAGTCGTTCAACGCAGAAAGGGTTGCTGCTAGGAGTTCGAGGAGCGAATCCCTCCAGTACTTCTCAGCGAGGGAAGTGTCCAGATAAAAAACAGGAAGGGCTGCCCGAAATGATGGCATTAATATAGAACTGATCAATTCGAGGGGCACAAACTTTGGGAAGCTCTCACCATTCGAGACGAGTCCTAAATCCGAAATTTTGCTGCTTATCATGCACTCCTCAACCAATCACACCAATAATTTTTGCAAAACTTCGTCATCACTCGTCCTAGAAACAAATCACAGATCAATGTGCTAAGTGCGGGAATATGTTAGTTGATGTTTCGTGGATGCAGCAAACCTTATCACTGCTCATCTAATCGCTTCCCCCTCTGGTGCTCTTATCACACACACTGTCCCACTTATCAGATTAGCGAGAAAATGGAACTGAGAAGAAAAGCCGCCTCATCTCATTTCACTTTGCCCTAATACTTTATCCATTTCTTGCTATGAAATTTCAATTTACGATTCTACTCTCCCCAGGCAATTGCCGTACCATTCACCCCCTTTCTACCTTCCTTAATCTCAGGGCAAGTAACAACCGGCACTGCTCCCCCTCTGCCTGTAGCAAAATTCACTTTCAACATCCCGCTTAATGGCAATTCGTGCCAACCTGTAACAACGTCACTTCTTGCCACCCAGCTTATTCGCAAAGCAGAAAAATTTTCGAAATAATCGAATTTTCAACGAAATCCCAGTTTCCCAGATCCAGAAAAATCAAGCTGAATCAGCACAGCTTTCACAACAAGTAATTTCTCCACTAGTAGCAACCATTTTTCCCATTGATCAAAGCTTTCAGTCCCTTTCAGTTGATCCTACTTTCTGATAATGTATATTTCAAAATATCCATGAAAAAAAAAAGCACTATCTAGAGAATCGACGATAGCCACAGCACACCCAGCATTGCGGTATGAAAATATGAATAAAGAAACTATGCTGAATCATTCAGAAATATATCACTCCCATCAAATCCAAAAAAAAAAATTCTACCGATAATCTAACTCTTTGAGTACTAACACTTATGGGGGAAGCATCTAGTTGCAGTTTTCTCTCTTATCTTCGCTGATTGATAACGTCCAGATTTCACTCATGTACATCAAAAACGAAGATTTTGTATAAGCGCGTGTCAGGCTATAAAACAAAAACCTGTTACATGCTATTTATAAAGTATATTACAATTCTCCCCTCCTCTGCCAGGTGGTTTTTTATCGAGTCTCGGAGGGTAATTCACAGGTTAGACTGCTTTTTGTTTTTCAAAAAATAAAAGAAGCTCTACTTCTACTGCTGAAACCCAACCAGAAGGCTTCAAAAGCAGCAACGATTCACACTGCAGAGGCCAAATGAGTTAACAAAAAATAACATTAGTTGCCGTAGAGGTAAATGAGGTTCAATGGTGCAGCCAGCTGGCAAAGCATTAGTGATCAGACCGACTAAACATCAACTGATCAACCAAACTACACTACAAAAAAAATCATATCACGGCGTGGAAGCATGACCATTCGAAGCACGAGGAGCATAAAAAGATAAGAGATAGGAGGGGAATAGTGTCGGAGAAGAAAAACGCCCATATACACGGCACAGACAAAAGCTCTCACAAAACTTGTGATTTCAGGAAAACCTATTCTGTTAAACTGGGCACGGGAATCACCTACAGACACGCTTGGATACTGTGATCAGCTACAGATTTTTCACTGCCTCTTCCAGCTATACAGATGACAGCTTCCTCCGTTGCTTTGGCCAGTGCTGCGCCGCCCAGTGGCTAGCCTGTTGGCGATCCTAACGTTCGTTTCTTCCTTGATAGGACTGTAGGCTTAACGGTCCTCCGAACAGAAGCACATGGCAGAGTTTTAGCTGTCTTGGGAGCGCATTCTGCATATTGCCCTGAACGCTGCTACTCCTGAACTAGGGGTGAAGCGACTTATGGGCAAAAAAACATGAATGACTCATAACACTGGACAATGTGATTCAAGATAAGTAGCGTTATGCTTCCAACAGGTTTTATTAATAAGTTCACCGATTAATCACCAAACTTAGTTTTTTTGCCCCAATCAATTACCGTTAAAGCTGAACTTTTACCGATTACCGTTAAATCAGGAAAAAAAAAACGTTTTCAACACTATGTAGGAAGAAAATGCATACAATCTTCCTCAACACATCCCATTCTCCTTTCCCTGGCACTAGCACACCCGCAAATTAAACTCTCAAAACAAAAATACAGAAACTGTGAGATTAAAAACCTCGTCAAATCCACTCACATAAAAAGAAAAGGTCTAGTTATCTGAAATTATCGTTCATTTTTTATAAACGCAAAAGAACTCCGGGGAAAAAACGAAAATTTAATCAGTGCAAGCGATGAATATGTGGCGCGTCGAGGACGATCACTCACAGACTTGAAATTTAGACTTTTTGATAAATTACATCTGAAATCAGCTACAGACATCTGCGAATAATCCCAGGGCCACATGAGCAACAGCAAAATGATGCACTGGGAACTTGACAAACTTCGGCTGTAAATTACACCCACATCTGTTATCCCACGTCTCGTCCCAACATGTGCGCGCACCTGCTCCCATCCATCCCGAAAAAGCTAATAAATTGCATAGTTTGCGCCAATTTAGTATCGAAATTTGCATAAAATTTCGGTGGGATGGAGGAGGGCACTGCTCAGTTTACACCAAAATTTTGCATAATTATGCACCCTAATTTACACCATCTATCAAGAAATACATTTTTGCGAAAAATTGCATAACGAACAAAAATCTACATGAGTCTCAGAAAATGATTCCTTTTAAAAACAGGTGTGACAGAATCGGGACACACACGAAGTCTTTTTAAACAAAACAAAAAATAGTCGAAAAATGCAGGGATTCTTGGGAAGGGAGTTACTTCTAAAACAACATTTTGTTTCAGCTTTTCAGGAAGAGGCAGCGTTTTTCTTAGCCTTTCTCTAATCATTTATTTGCACACCGGATTATGAGTGGGAGTAGAGGAAGTGTCAGACGACCGCCGTAATCCTGGTCGCCCCTTCGGCAAGAAAAGAATCAGGGCATATTTCAAAAATCCAGTTGGCCCCTGTTGGGAATACTGAAGGAATGGCAAAACCGAAGTAAAATAAAAGCTGTTCGAGAGGAAATGCTGCAGTGGTTAGAGCTCCGTCATGGCACATCAGTACTGAGACAGCGCATCATTCCCTCTCCAGAAAATGGCCTTAATTTCCCGGCTGTGCACTCGAATTACAGAACAGGTGTGCATCAGAAATAAACCGAAAGATCGAATCCACAGGGTTTCTCCAGAGACAATTTGCGAGGAAGGAAGGAGGACTGCAGCAGCCACCAGTCTTTCTCCCAAGCACCTAAGGCAAGGAAGGCAGACACTGGACAACACATACGGAAAATTTAGAGCTTTAAAAAAAACTTTATTTGTTAAAAAACAAGTGCCGACTCGCATCTGTTTCTATAGTTACTTGGATGCGTAAAATTTATGATCATAAGACCTGTAGTTCCTAATGTGAGCAATGCTAACTCACCACTGCGCATTAAGCTTCCTTCAAAAACCGCAGATAAGCTTACTCACTTTAACAAAAGGAGCTAGAAGAACCTAAAGAGGAAAAGTTAAAATTACATTCACTGTTACTTGCGAAAAAAAATTCCGTATGCACTTCTACGGCTTAGTAAAACTATAATAATCGGCCAACGCAGGGGCTACTCGTGCGAAGATGCGTTTTTTGCATTTTTTTGCATCTCATAGGTTTAGTAAAACTATAAAAACCAAGTACTAGCTGTTTAGACCACATAATTCTTAGCCCTCTTCCTCATCCTCACAGTGTCAACTTATGGACCGAAAAAACCAGCTCATTCAAAATTCGGAAAAGCCCTTCCCAGCTAAAAAACATGTAACAATTCAATCAGTTTTCTGTTTTCCTGAAATTTTTTGGACAGAAATATGACAACTCCCGCAAAAATAGCTCATTTTTCCGGAAAAAACAATATAAAATAAACTATGTAAAAAGGGGAAGCGGCGAGAGATAAGGATAGTGCCAATGTTTATCAACCGTGATAAACGCACATGGCAGGCATTTTAGCAGTTGGTCAGTACACAGCGGTGCCAGAAGTCCACTCCTCATGGTTCAAAATTAAAATTATCATAACTCTGACAAACAAAAACTGAAAAGGAAAAATCCGACAACTAAATCTGTCCTCGCCCTGAGTGAATTGCGTGCAGCTGAACACTTCCCTATTTCTATCTCAGATCCCTCCGCTGCCTCCCTCCCAGTCCTATCCCAATCCTTTTTCTTTGCAAAAAACTTTAATTACTCTCACTGGACAAAGCATTGCCCACATCTAGAACAAATCTTACTACAGAATCTTAATATACACTACAAACAGGGAAAAAATGTGCCGCGTAGTTTCAAACATTCCAGGCAGGCCACGAAAGTCAAATTTTCCAGTATTTTGGAATACTTTGCATTGCAAAGCATCCAAAATAGCATTTTGAAGAATTAAAGACATGATTCAAAACGAAAGTCAAAAAAAGAGAATAGAATCGGTCGTTGCTTCCAACTACATTCCGAAATAAAGCTCATCATTTA